ATTAATTCTATCTTTTTATAGTTATTCCTATTAAACAGTTTATAATAAATATAAAGTCATTCATCAATATGGACATTTTTGAAAAAAGACAATAATTATAACTTGAAAAACTAAAATGTCTCACATATTTTAACATCCAACTCCTCAAAAATGTTTTATATTTTTTAAGGGAGGGAGTAATTGTAATTTATTTCAGGTAAATAAGTTCTGAAATATTATTATGTACGGTGCTTCTTTATAAATCTCTTATTTCTGGGATTTGTTTTTCCCCGTGTGATAATAATTCACCTGGTCTTTGTTTCTCATCCGGACCATTTAATTGTTTAAATTTGGATTGTTCATCCTTAATGTAACGTAGTCAATATTTAGGTTCCGTCTAGTTACTAGAAAAGAATTGAGTGGAATGAGTTTGAAAAATCAATTAAAAAAATAAAATAAATCATTCTTCCTCCTCAAGATAAGCATGATAAAACTCATTAATATATAATATAAATGTGAAAATTATCACACCTTCCAAAAATTAATGAATCATAATTTTCAATCTCATGAACTAAATTACCCATTTTTTTATGAATGCGATTCATTATTTCTTTTGATTATTTTATTTTTACCTTTATTTTTCAATCCACTTCATTTTATTTTTCTCTTGTAACCAAATGTGGCCTTACTCTCCACTGGACATGCAAGTGTCTCTTAGTGGTTTTCTATGCAAACTATAAACAAATTATACCGGATTTATTTAATAATCTTATATATGTTTTGAAAATTGAAATGGTTATTACTCCAGTTGGAATAATCTCCATAAAGAAGGTGGGGTTAGAAATAGAGATATTTAGAAAGAGTAATTTTGATTAGTAATTCAAGAGCCAATTTTCTATTAAAGTATTAGTCTTTTGAAATACCTATGAAATGTTAAAGAAAAGAAAAGAAGAGAAGAGAACAAAAGATTGCAGTTAAGAATTGTCTGTGTTATTTTTATGAATTGATTTGGATTCAAAAAGGTATAAAAAATAAATGTTTAAAATAAAATAACAATGTTATTATTTGGCACTAGGATTTAAAGATGCAAACATTATTTTAAGAGGACCAGTTAGGAGTAAGTTATTTATTTAAAAAATTATCAAGTGGGTAATGTTCTAAATAATTTATTAGCAATTTTTTTATCAAAATATTATTTTTAACAATTTACAATTATATGTATATATGTATATTTATATATTTATAGCATTGATCACTTTTGTTGATTAAATAACTTTATCTCTTGAAGTCATATTACATAGGTACAAGATTGATAAAATTATTTTTATAAGAGTTATTAATCCTTTACTCAATAAGTACAATCATAAAAATTGGTGAAAGGGTTATGAGATATTAATTATGAATCTTCATATTTAGAAGATTAGTTATTTTAAATGATTTATGTGAGTTGTTTGATATTAAGAAAAGGAATTTACAATTTGAAAATTGATTATTTATATTTTATTGGTTAGAGCACTGTGGTTAAATTATAATTATGATTATAAATTAATATATTATTAATTATACATTAATTATTTTCATTTAAAATAAAAATAACAAATTTAAAAAGTAGTATAGTGAAAGTAAAATAAAAAAAAAAGTATAAACAATGTTAGAAAAAGTACTATAATATGGAAATGTTTAACTGTTAATGGATAAAAAAGTAGTCAAAAGGGCTTTTAATTATAAGATCTTTTACATGAAAACAGAAAATACGAGTTTCTGGCTTCAGCTGTAGTTAAATATCAGAAGATGATTTTTATCTTAAATTTAGTTTGCAAACTTTAGCTTACTCTAATGTCATTATTAGAACTTTCAATCCAAACACGTACTTACTCTTTCTCTTGTTTTCCATCAACATCATTTTCCTCCATCTATACTTTCACTATTTGCATTCCTTCTCTCCATATATTCGAGAGTTGAGACCCTTAGTTCTTACAAATCTACCTGGTTCAAAGTGGCTCTACTGATAGTCACTCACAATATAACGAATCAAGATTCGAATATTTGTAAAGAGAGAAACGGTCCAAATTTTTCGGTCATAAGAAAACTCAAGTATTTTGCAATATTGTTTTACGTACGTATGGTCCAAACCATGGATCAATCACAAAGCAGTAGCCAGTAAGAGTGTCGGCGTCGCCTGGCTAGCTGGAAGACATGAAGGTTAGGTGGTTGTAGTGGGCGTAAAATAAATGGTGCTGTGTCTGTGCGCGTGATTGGGCTCCAGCATTTCTTCAATATTTCTCTTATACGTTAATTCCATGATCGGTTAATAAGTATTAGTTGCACCACAAAAGCATAGTATTTGATATTTCAACTACCTTCACAAAAATTCTGACCAAAGTTGCCTTTTATTAAGGGCTTTCATCTTTGTTTCCTCTTGCCCTTTTTTGGCACTCACTGCAGGAGCATGCCATGTAGTGTGAACGGTCGGCACAGAATCACGAAAGGTCCAATACCCTCAGTATTGTACTTTGGGCATGGCTGAACGAAAGATGACGTCTTCATTTGTAGCTTATGTCTTTTGGACAAAGTGTCACAGTGGGGGGACCTGAACACCAGCCTTCTATTTCAATATAAGCTGTTATGTCAGCCTGAGAGTGACCGAGCCAAATGGGTTGGAGATTGAGAGTAATTAAGTGAATTGAGATTTTGAGGGAAATAATGGTGAGGGTGCAGGCTAGTTATATTTATTTGAAGACAAGGCCAAAACTTAATGAATAAGGTCAAGGAAAAGTAGTAAGCAAAAGTAGTGAGTTTCCCTTTTAAGAAAGGTGATTATTTGAGAAATTGATAAGTAATTGTTGATTGAAAACTATGATTTAAATTGTTCATAAATATATGGTGCTGTGGACATATATGGAGTCACATGGCACAAGTGTAACATGAAATGGGTGGTGGTTCACCTTAAGAAGAGAAAATAGTATAATAAAACTTGAGTTTCCTATCAATAAATTCGTGCATTTCTTTTTCTCATTAATATATGTCCTCCACCTCCTTTTTTCTTATAACTAGTAATTCAGGTAGTTCAGGCTTATTCGAGTAAGGTCCTTTCTGATTAAGTTTAAAATATCTTATCATATAAAAAAATTCTTATACAGTCAAACCTGATCCTAGTCCTTTAAGCTTTGGGACTAGCTTGAATACTCGAATGATTGAATATTATTTAATTTTATTTTTTACTTTAAAAATTAACATTTTCAATTTTATATTATTTTTATATGATTTTATTAATGATTGGAAAAGGAATTGGGTGTTCAGGCCAAGCCCATTCAGATTCGGGCTTAACTCAGATTTTTTCAAGTGGTCTGGATAAGTTCAGAGTAAAAAATTTTTTTAAACTTTTAAACCCGACTCCAAAATTTTTCAAACTTATTTGAATTGGCTTGTTGAGCTTGCTTCAAATTATTGCATCTACTTTTCCCATTTTTTCTTCCTAGTATTGTAATGCATTATCATTTATAATTTATATTCATCCTTTATTCTCATAAGGCATTTTAAATGCCTCTCAACAATTTAAAGAACTATTATTTATTAGCTGATATTCCAGGTTCTTTCTAGATTTACCCTTCTTTAAGTATGATTGATATTCTAATATCTATTCCCAATCAAAAGCAGTTGTCACGCCTTTTCAGTACTTCCTTTAATCTTGCACACTAGTTACTTGTGACTATTTCATGGAAATCTAGGAAAGGGTAGGAAATTATTAACATTGTTTGAAAAAAATTTTTATTTTACCCTGTTAAATGTATCATTTTTCAAGATACTTTCTCATCATATACACAATCATATCTTGGCCAAAAAAAAAACAATCATATCTTACCCTACTTATAAAATTTTTTAAAAGAATAAATTCAAAGAAAGTAATTGAATGTCGATTTTTTAATATAAAATGAGTTATAAAAAAAGCATTACCAACTTTTTTAAAATATAATTTAAACATAGTAGGAGGGAGTCTGTGCATAGATAATTTCCTACAGTACGTTTACTCACAAAAACTCTATTATCAGGATTATGTTATATATCTTTTTTGCACCGTCCACATCATCACACAGATTTGTTGTAGTTGGCTTCCCTCCTCTCCCTTCCTCTTTTTAGCCTTAGATCTCAACTTCAATAGTTAAAATTTTATATATTATAAAGCTATTAGTAAAATACTAAATAATAATAAAATAAATAAATTTAAAAATATATGTCAAATTTAGCCATTGAACTTGACATCTGAGAATGGAAAAGGTAAGAAGCTCCAAGTGGAGGATTTGCCCACAGGTAACAAATTGCTACTCTACTTCGCATATATGCGCTTCAAAATGGATGCTGTTAACAGGCTAGGCGATGTGTTGATTTGATCCTGTTGAAGATTGGAATCTTAGTCGTGTTGATGATATGTTGATGTGTATGCAAATTTTCCGATGGCTTAACAGTTGAATGTTTCTTGAGAAACTATTTATGAAGTTTTAGGAATATAATTTACAACACCACCTCTGTCTCCCTCTCTCTCTCGGATTTAATTTGCAACTTCCCCTGTGTCTTGAGTTGCAACTCTGTTCCAATTTTTGATGAGGAACACATATCATATATAGCTTATTTGTTTTATGCATGATTTAATCTCCGCATTATAGTGGAGAAGGACAAAAAGAAAAAAGGCAGGACGGAGTTAAAAAGGTAACTGGCTTCAACAAGTTCACTAGTTCAGGGAAGAAAATAAAACGAAGATGCAGGTGTCATAAGAAAAGTACATTTCTCCATCATAATTTTCCTTATTGGGTCTTGCATGAATAAATGGTCATCTTATAAATCATGCCAACCAACTTCTAAAGAATTAATTGCTAAACGTGCTTTTCTAACCTCTCATATGCATGCTTCAATATGTATCACTGTCAGCTTCAAGCCCTACCCTCTCCCACTTCTCACGAGTTGTAATAATCGTTTCATATAAATAACACCACCACTTGCAAGACTCTTGCATAATCAAATTCCCATCATCTTCACTTGCACGCACCATGGCTAAGAAATCGCAGCTAGTTTTTGTGCCTTGTCCTGGCTTGAGTCACCTCATGTCCGCCGTTGAGTTCGCTAAGCTTCTCGTCAACCGCAATGACCACCTTTCCATCACCGTCCTCATCATCAAAGCACCATTTGACCAAGCAGTGGACACCTACACACACTCCCTCACCTCCTCCTCTTCCTTCCCAAATCGGCTTCACTTCACTATCCTTCCTCCACATCCCGTCGACCCTAACCCTACCAACTCTCGCCCTCTTGATCTATCTTCCCTCTTGCACTCTCTCATCGAAAGCCAGAAGCTCAATGTCAGAGACGCTGTGTCCAAACTCACCTCAAGCCCTCACTCACCCCGCCTGGTCGGACTCTTGGTCGACATGTTTTGCACTACCATGATGGATGTAGCTACCGAGTTCAGGGTTCCTGCCACGGTCTTCTTCACCTCAAGCGCTGCTTTTCTTGGGTTCATGCTTCATATTCACACACTCAGGGAGCGAGAGAATGTTGATACGACTGCGTTTAACTTCAAGGACTCGGGCTTCGAGTTTGCTATCCCTAGTTTTGACAACCATATTCCTGCTTGTGTTTTCCCAAGTGTAATGTTGGACAATGAGTGGGCGCCATTTTTCTTCAACCATGCAAGCAGGATAAAGAAAGCAAAGTGTGTGATAGTAAATACATTCGAAGAGCTTGAGCACCATGCTGTGCAGTCTTTCTCCAACAGTGATCTCACTGTTTATCCCGTGGGACCCATCTTAAGTTTAAGGGACAATAAGAAGGTATCAGAATCAGATGTCATGGAGTGGCTAGATGATCAACCTCTTTCGTCGGTTCTTTTCTTGTGCTTCGGAAGTATGGGGTATTTCGAGAATGAGGATCAAGTGACGGAAATTGCACGTGCTCTTGAAGCCAGTGGCGTCCACTTCCTGTGGTCTTTAAGGAAGCCCCCACCCAAGGGCTCGGTGGGAGCACCGAGCGATTACTCCAACCTAAAAGAAGTCTTACCGGAAGGATTCTTGGATAGGACGGCGGGGATCGGAAGAGTGATGGGGTGGGCCCCACAACCCAAAATCTTGGCCCACAAAGCGGTAGGAGGGTTTGTGTCTCATTGCGGGTGGAATTCGATACTGGAGAGTATATACTACGGTGTGCCTATCACCACGTGGCCGCTTTATGCGGAGCAACAGCCGAATGCATTCCAAATGGCGCGAGAGCTGAAAATGAGCGTAGAGATGTTATTGGATTACAGGAACGGCTTCGGCAATGTGACCAAATCGGGGCTAATAACTGCGGAAAGGATAGAGAAAGGTATAAAAGAAGTGATGAAGAAGGAAAGTGAGGTGAGGAAGAAGGTGAAGCAAATGAGTGAGATTAGTAAGAGAGCTTTAGTGGAAGGTGGATCTTCCCACTCCTACGTTGGACGTTTCATTCGAGATATCCTGAATTGGGAGTGAATCTGTCGTTTGTGAGAGTTGGAACTAGGGGGGGAAATGAATCATATATGTTGCCTTTTCATTTCTGGTCAAAATCACTTTCACTGTCCTTTCATATCCTAATGGTGGCAATTAGTCGTAATCAAGTTTATCTTTTAGAGTTTTCATTGGGAATACGTAAAGTTCCTGTTTAATAATTAGCTTGCCAAGTTTCTGCTTCAACGTCTGTCACCACCGTATGTGTAATGGTCTTTCGGTTTCCTTCGTTAATAAATGCTCCCTCTGTTTGAAAAACTATCAAATCTCAACTTGTAGTTATTTTCATTTAACATCTCTTTTTTTTTAATCATTGCAATCTGATGTCATAAACGTTGGCATAGTTTATAGCAAGAATTACATATATTTCGTTACACATTATACATGCAGCCTCGTCAATGGGTTGTATTATATGTCATGATTTGTAAACAGTACGGCCTATTATATATTTTAGTTATGCTTTATTTATTAATATAACATATGGATGATTATTTTTACCATTTGATGAGGTTGCAGTGTGATTCATATTATGACAGAAAAATCGCATAGAACTGAATGGCTTTTTTTGACCAAAAAGCCTATTATAAGTAATCAAACAAGCCACGCACACGTGTGAAATCATATAGTGCGTTGAACTTAATCTAGGGAGAACTGAACCGCAGGCTTTAAAAAAAAAAAAATTGCACTTTGAGCCTAATAAATTCTGATAATGCATTGAAGGTCAAGTGCCTTTTTTGCAATGTCTTTTAGGAACGAAAGTATAATTTTGCTCTCGCGTGATTTGAAAATTCAAAACTTACACAAAAATCTCATACACAAATTATAACTCGATATTCATGAATCCTGAACACAATATACATGCATATCCAGTTGATATGTAGGTTAATTAAAATATATAAGTCACATAAAACATGTATAATATAATGTCCATAAATGTATAACATGATATTCATGCATTCTCAACATAATATTCATGTATATCCAATTGATCAATAGGTTTAATAAAATATACAAGTGACGCAAACAATATACAGCATAATGTCCATAGATACAGAGCACAATGTTCATGTATTCTCAACTGAATGTCCATATGTGTCAAGTTGATTTGCAGGTTTTAATAAAATGTATAAGTTATGCAGATAATGTATAAAATAATATTCATGAATGCATAATACGATGTTCATGAATTTTTAACATAATGTCTGTGCATATCCAATTGATCTGTAGGTTAATTAAATAGTCATGCAAAGCATGTACAATATAATATTTATGGATGTACAACACAATATCTATAAATTCTCAATACGATATCCATGGGTGTTTAGTTTATCAATAAGTTTAATTCTCAACATGATATTCATGAATTCTAAACTGAATATTCATATGTGTCAAGTTTGATCATTCCACCATTTTCAATTTGTTTCTTTCATTTTGATTAAGGACAAAATGTATTTTTATTTTCAAGAAAAATTATAATAAGAGCCCTTGACCTGCAGTACATTATGCGAATTTCTTAAGCCTACAGTGCAATGTTCTTTGTTTTGAGTTTGCTGTGCGATTCTTCCTTTAGTCTATTAAACTGCCGGACGTGTATGAGTTTTTTGCTTTTGGTTGTTTTTGTCATCATAGCTTTTTTGCCCCTGTTTGCTTTAATCTGTTAGTTGAAATTATATCGTGTTAGCGTGTACGTACAGTTTCAAAATTATCCTCTGATTAACCAAGACTTGGCAGTAGTTGAATTATTTTATTCCATCGCATCATCCAGTAGTGTCACTCACTCCTTTAACCATTCATTAATCTATCCTAATTACTTATTTAAAAATATAAATATTTTTTAGTAGTTAAGTGTTAAAAGATATAAAGTATTTTTTAATATTTCAAATATAATCATCATATTTTTTTGAAGTGTTCCTAATAAATAAATTACTTTATATTTATTTTAAATTAAAATTTTTAATTAAATAAGGATAAATATAAAAAGATGATGTTAGTTTGAACATAATTAATTATTTTATTAGGGTGAAATTTAATTAAAAATATTTTATATTTTTTTAATCAAAGGAGTAAATGTTATTCAGTTTAAAATGAAAAACTTTGTAGCCTAATGAGAGGTAAATATGAGAGAGTCATTTTATAACAAGATTGCTTTGGAGCAATAGATGAAGCTCATTTTAAGAGAAGATGAAGCTCATATTTCGTGTAGGAAGAGAGATTTTTGTGATTTCTTGTTAAAATTTTAATGAGCTGTATGAAGAATAGTAGGTGACAGAAAAAAAAGACATTAAATAAATTTTTTTAAATGTACAATGGATGAAAAAAAGAAAGAAAGAAAGAAAGAAAGAAAATAGAAAACTTGGTAACAAAGATTGAGAGGTAAAAGGGTCAACCACTATTTTGTTCACACGGTGTTAAACTTAGCTGCCTGTGTCATTGATTGGCAGTCTGACCGTTTGCTTTGTTTTGGGTTTAAGATCCTCCACAGGCACCGGCCGATCTTCTCGTGCTCATCACAACATGCTCATCATGCTTATCAATGTGATGAAGTCTGAATTATTTAAATTTAAATTTTAATTATTTAAATTTAAAGTATTATTCTGAAATTTTATATTATATTTAATAAAATAAAAATTTATAAAAATATAAAAAATTATAAATATTTTTTATTATCAATCTTGTTTATATTTAATTTGAAAGATTCAATTTAATATTAATATTTTTATATATTGATTATTCAGATGTACTCTATATAATTCAAATTTAAAATTTTTAACTTTTAATTTTTTTAAAAAAATCCATTTTTATATATTTTAATTTTTAATATTTTTTTCAAAATAAAAGTTATAAAAAATTTAATATTAAATCTGGAATGTACAGAATACATTTGGATTATCAATATAAATTCATCACAATGAAGTTATAAAATTGAGAGTCAAGCTTTATTTATTCTTTAACCATGTTAAAATTTAAAAATAAGTTTCAAATTCATCACAACGAAATTTTTTAAAATTAAAAGCTGAATTTGCAAATTTCTAAAGCTTGACACTTGTGGCCTAAGTTGAATTAATTGATTCTCTTAAGACCTATTTGTCATTCTCCCAACTAATCAGTACTAGAGTGCAAAAAAAAAAAAAAAATTAGTGGCTATGCAAAATTTGTAGTCATCAAAAAACTCTATTTTGTAGCAATTACGTATGGTCAATATAAAAATAATATATATATGTTAACCTATAAAATTTTATGTTATTTCATCATATTTTTCTTATATTTTAAGCTATTTTTTCTCATTTGTATATATTTTTTATTGCCCAAATTAAAAAAATGTGCATTTTACTTTGGGTTTGCATTCTTAGCTTTAATTTAATATTTTTGATCTAATTTTGTATTATTTTGGTTTAAGATTTAATTAGATCCATTTCTGAAGCTTTATTAATGTTTTTGGAAGGCTTTTGGATGAAGAAATCAAATGCAAAAATGATAAATTTTATTAATTGTGAAAACAGTTTAAAAATGCCAAAGTCATTAGAAAGTTGCGACTTTCACTGCTATCAGAAAAATGTTATGTTTATTTATCAAAAATTAATTGGCTAGGATATATATATGTTGAGAGCTTGACCCAGTACACATCCGTCAAAATTTTAGACATATTTGGAGCGTAAGTGTGTTAGGGTTTGGGCATTAGAAGTGCTTGAAGCAAGGGAATGGAGTTTTTAAGACATTTGAAGCTCATTTTCTTTAGTTTTTCTATTTCTCTTCCCTTTCCTTCTTGTAATCTTGTAATGGCTGTGAATATCTTGTGTATTTATAACTTTTTGATATTTATGAATAGCTAAACTCTTTGCTCTAAGATTATTTTAAACTTTTGTATGAATTAACATTAAGTTCCTCCTCTCTTTTTGTGATTAATGATATATATGTGTTTATTTTACTCTTTCCTTAATGCTTCTAAGTGATTGGCCACCATTTAGATATATTCACTTAATTGATGCTTGAGAGGGTTAGGTTGAGTGTAGAACCTTAGTAAAATAGTGCAAGAACTCAATATTTACATGTTAAATGAATAGTTTTGCTAGTAAAATAGAGATATACTTGCTAGTCTTATACCCACGTTAGGGTTGTTATTTAAAATTGAGTTTTATTAATTGTAACAAAAGATTAAACAATTAATCTAACTAAACACTTATTCATACATTGAAAGAGCTTGTCCAAGTATTTTTAGAACCTTAAGTTAGCATATATTTTCATTAAAAGCATTTATGAGAGGAGGTAATTTTGGTGTAATGAAATGCAAGGGAGATAGATAATCCTATGTCCCAATTTATGTTTGAAGTTTGTGAATTGATTACTTTTCTTTATTTTCTAGTATTAGTTTAGTTTGCAACATCATTTTCACCTAATTTTATGTGGCTCAACTTAATTGAATTTACTTAATCTATTATTTGATCATCATTATTTTTAAACAAATTCTCGAGGGAATGATACTTTACTCATTTTATATTACTTGCTACGACTTATGCACTTATGGTGAGTAACAATATATATATATATATATACATATATTGTTTGGGCATAAAATGTCTATATTTAAGTAAAGCCTAAATTGGCAAGAAACAAAGCGTTAGGCTTATATAAACAAAGAGTTAGGCCCAATAAATCTTCAAATGAAGTAGAGTCTAATCTGCCAAAAGGAAACCTCATTGACTAAGCGAGTGTTGAGTTATGAAAGAGACATGACTCATAAAATTTAGAACCACTAAATCATAAATATTGTTATCTAGGTGAGAAACCATTGCTTGACATGCCTTGAATTTTGTGAGTTCATGCCAAGTAGGATAAGATATTTTAGCATGAAGCACCTAAGCTCCTTGTTTGGCAAACATACAACACCCAAGTCATCCCTTGATTATTGGAGAGTTTGGACTAGTCTTGTTACATAAATTTGTCCTGTTGTGAATTTTAGCCCATGGACTTGGTCAAGAGGAATAAGGAGAAGATAAAAGGGGCTAAATTAATGATCATGCATGAATGATTATACTATATGATGAATTGTATTTATTGCCTGCTTTGCATGCCCTTAAATACTTTTCTTTTATATGTTTCAATTTAGTGAATCCTTGGATAGTGAGATAATTATTTCACTCCTTCTGGTTTTATGCTTTACTTATGAAGATTTGGGTCTTAGCAAAGGAAAGGAACCAGAGACTACTAATTAGTTTCTTGTAGCTGTAATGCCTCCTG